GTGTGTGTGTGTGTGTGTGTGTGTGTGTGTTTACATCTGTACTTGCGTCTACCAATTTTTTACACTCTTATGCAAAGGGGGAGGGGGGGTGAAGGGGTAGGGAAAATGAAGTGTTGACAACATTCTAAAACTACACACGCTTTGCTGCTTGTTCATTATTAACAGACCAGTAGATGAGTAACAGTGCTGCTTAATTGGTCGCTTTTAAGCACAAGGGGGCTGTCCTGAAAAATGCTGTTTTGAGAAAATCAAAGGTAAAGTTTTTGCCACTTGTTCAGTTTCTTTCAAAGACAAGGAGAGTTTTCTCTATAACCATACAAATATACACACCAATAAAACCAAACTTCTCCTATAGGTAGGGCAATATCCACTTTTGTTGTTGGTCAACATTTCTGGAAACCCCCGAAATCTGGGTTAGCCCGCTTGTACTTATAAGAGCAACCAATTGTGAGCTTACGTTTCCACTCCCGAAAGCAAAAACGCTAATATCAACGCTTTTACACTTCCAGCCATGGTTTTGACTGATGGCTACCTACGATAGGTTACATTTCTGTACTTATACACAACCCCCCCTCCTCCCCCAATCCTCTTCTGTCATTTTTTCTGGGTCTATAGTTTCTAGGGTCCTGACGTCAGTATCTCGTACTTTGCTTGCAAACTATTATTTGCAAACTGTATTTAAAAAATGATTAGATATCATTTGTGACATAGTGCAAATAATTTACTTTCGAGGATATCGGTATACACCGCTAGCCTGCCACCATTTCCTACCCGAGAATCCGAAAGTCCTATCTCCTCACTACCTAGTTTTGAGAAATTTGACGTGAAAAATGAGTTTCACAGTATTATGTCAAGCTTTCTCGAATGCAGTTATTCGAATATTTTGTTGAAACAAGAGGGGGTTGGGGGGGGCTGTCATTGTGGGGTTGCAGCTGTGTTTTACAGGAACAGGAAAAAACAGGCTGTGATCGTCGCTATGCGCAAAGAGATCAACGAGTGAGAAAGGCCTAATCTCCTCTGAAAGTTCTTCAGTGCACCGCCCCCCCCCCCCCCCTAACATTTTAAAAATTAATTTGAAATAATAATAATGAAACAATATAAAATAAAAATATAGTAAAATAAATAAATGAATACATTTTAAAATTTAAAAAACAAAACGAAACAAAACTAGGCCAACAGGTTCGACCCCTGTTCAGCTGTACGTTGCTCAAAATCAGCTCACGGTAACGCGCGTCCTTTCAGGGTAGCGTGATCCCCTCAGATTGTTGTTGGGGGCTCCCTCCCACCCTCGCGAGACACCTCAGCAGAGAAAAAACCGTGCTGCTCGTCGCTCGAGCCTGGATGCCCTGGATGGGTTTACCGGCACTGTTTATGATCCTGCTTCAACTCACAGCTGATACTTGTTGACCTTTGAACTTCTCACGGTGATAAGGTCAGCCGCTCTCGTGCTTTCTCGCTAAAATAAAAGAGCTGGCGAGGCTGCGTATCGCGCTACAATTACGGCCCCTTTTGCCCTCTTTGATTCCCGTTATCTTGCGGCGTTGGTTTATCTAGGTTTTCTTTCACTGGCGACCCATCCCGGGGCAGCTGTGGAGGGGCCCCCGACTTGTAAACATTAGCTAATGAGAAAACAGGAGAGCCGCCAGTGGCGGGGATGTGGCGCTTTCACCGGATTTATGGTCCTGTTTTATAGAGTTATCCCTCTTTGATAATGACTCGTGGGAGCGCAAGAAGAGACGAAGGTCGCTGTTGGGGCTGAGGAGTTGGGGTGGATTTTTTCACCCCCTCTTCCTGTGCGTTTCTTTATGTGTGTGTGTTGCCGGGGCGGGGGTGGGAGGAAAAGGGGGGGGGGGGCAAAAAAGGAAACCAGGGGGGAAAGGTATCGTGGTGTGGGGGGGGGGGGGGGGTTTGGGGGGGGGGGAAACCGGGGGAAAAAGGGGGAGGGGGGAAGAAACCAAACGAATGCAGAGAGAGAGGGGGAGGTTTGAATAACGTGATTGTGTTTGTAATTATAACTGA